TTTTAATATTTGGAACATAATTGAAACTTTTCTCATATAAAATGTGTTTTTTAGAATGGCTGGCAAATCTCCATCGACAATCGATCATCGAATTGCACAAGCGAGAAGTCTCGGCGCAGGAGATTTGGCAATTCGACAGGTGTCTCATTTTCCGGAGATTCATAAGCGTCTTGAAGTCGACAGAAGTGCCATTTTCCACACTATTCAACGCTACGAAGCTATGGGAACAATTGCTGATGCACCAAGAAGCTGTAGTCACAAAGCGTTAGTCCAACTGTCGTCACAAAGACGAACATCAAGCGAGTGAGGGACCAAATTCGAAGCCAAACCAATCGGCAAGGCAAATGGGAAAGCAAATGGCAAAGCAAATGGCGATTTCAAGCACTTCATTGCGTCGGATCCTCAAAAATAAGCTCAAAATATCCACAGGCAATTTGACGGCTGTCATGCTGGTTCAACAGGCCAGAAGCTATGACAAAATGAGTCGAGTCAGTTTGACCCACTCCAGGGCATGAGTTCACCAAAGTACATGGTGCGCCATAGTAAGGGATCGCCATAGTATGCGCCACAATTGTCGCAACAGTATCACGCGCGTTCAAGGACAATAACTCGTTGATTTAAACTTCATTTCTGGTTTTTTCCTTTTGTTTTTATTATATTTGGAATATAATTGAAACGTTTTTCATATAAAATGTGTTTTTTAGAATGGCTGGAGAATCTCCATCGACAATCGATCATCGAATTGCACAAGCGAGAAGTCTCGGCGCCGAAGATTCATAAGCCTCCCTTCATAAGCCTTCTTAACAAGCAAAATGATCGAGTATGAGCCAAATCTCAACCGAATGCTACGGCTTCTCAAAGTGCACATCTAAGTTCCGTGGGAAGAGCGTGGGAAGAGCTCGATGCAGCCTATTTGGTCGCCACCGTTGACGTCTTTCTGCTCAAATTCAAGGGCAATAACTCGTTGATTTCGCTTCATTTCTGTTTTTTAATGTTTTTATTATATTTAGAATATAATTGAAACTTTTATCATATAACATGTGTTTTTTAGAATGGCTGGCAAATCTCCATCGGCAATCGATCATCGAATTGCACAAGCGAGGCGCCGGAGATTCATAAGCGTCTTGAAGTCGAGAGAAGTGTCATTTTCCACACATTTTTCACACGACCAAGCTACGGGAACAATTGCTGATGCACCAAGAAGCGGTAGTCACAAAGCGGTAGTCCAACTGTTGTCACAAAGGCGAACATCAAGCGAGTGAGGGACCAAATTCGAAGCCAAACCAATCGTCAAAGCAAATGGTAAAGCAAATGGCAAAGAAGATGGGACCAAATTCGGAAGAAGCCAAACCAGTCGGCAAGGCAAATGCAAGATGGCGATTTCAAGCACTTCATTGCGTCGGATCCTCAAAAATAAGCTCAAACTTATTGTTTACGAGAAAAACAAGGCTCAACTTCTTTCGAATGCCGCTAAAAACAAGTGAAAATTGAAGCGCATTCCATTGAAGCGCATCAATAACAGATCAGTTATTGATGCGCTTCAATGGAATCGACCACAATATCTTGTTCACAGATGAAAAGATCTTTACCGTTGAAGACCGTTACGTTACGTCCCACCCGGCGATCAGATCGGACCTCCGAATCCGACTTTAAACGGACGTCAGAATCGGATCCGACCTTAAAAGATTAGATCGGACTCGGATAGGATTGGATCCGACTTGGACATCCGGATTGGATCGGACTCGGACATCCGGATTGGATCGGACTTGGACATCCTTGGATCCGACTCGGACATCCGGATTGGATCGGACTTGGTCATCCTTGGATCCGACTCGGACATCCGGATTGGATCCGACTCGGACATCCGGATTGGATTAGACTTGGACATCCGGATTGGATCCGACGATTCGATCGATTGGATTTTTTTCACCTAATCTATTCAATCTATCAAAATGAGGATTCATGATATTTAAAATACAAAAAAAGAAAGATAAATAGAATAAAAATAGAAAGATACAGTAATCTCGAAAGTTGAAAAGCTTTAGAAAACGATAGAAAACGATAGAAAACGATAGAAAACAATAGAAAACGATAGAAAACGATAGAAAATCAAAAAAAGCTCAAAGATTAGTATAAAGCATGCGAAAAACAACAATAAATCTAGTTCTCGGGAAGCTGAAATTCATAAATGATGAAGATTTTTGCAAAAAGAGAGGAAAACGTCGAGTAAAGTGGCCATTTCATAGAGGCATTTCCGGTGTGATGAATCCAAAGGAAAAGAGAATTGACATTGAAAGAGAAAGAGGAAAAGATCACAAAGCATCGGATCATTCCATATTCTGAAGTCTCTCTTGCACTTTTCACTCTCTTCACTCCACGAAATCTCCTGGTTTTGTCGTTTTGTCGTTTTGTTGTTTTGCAAAGAGTATATCTTGTTTTTTGAGCTGATAAAAGCTGATAAAGTGACTTGAGTAGATGAATTTTCACATGAAACTAGCAATGGAGAGATCTTGTGGGCTTATTGTCTTGTCTGGATCTTTACAGGATGCAGGATTATTGGATGGATCATGGCATTCAACAACAACAACAACAACAACAACAACAACAACAACAACAACAACAACAACAACAACAACAACAACAACAGCAACAACTATCTCGACATACTTAAAATCGTCTTTCGTGAGCCAAAAATCACTTTAGCAATAGGATTTGGTGTTTTATGCAGGATGATGTTTATGGCTCACAAGGCTTGAGTGGTTTAGGTCTAGTGCAAGCAGGTTTAGGTCTAGTGCAAACAGGGTTAGGTCTAGTGCAAGCAGGTTTAGGTCTAGTGCAAACAGGTTTAGGTCTAGTGCAAGCAGGTTTAGGTCTAGTGCAAGCAGGATTCTCTTGATTTGGCCATCATAAAGTGGCTCTTAGTGATGGCCACTAAAGTCAAGCTAAAGTCCCGAGCTTAATCCGATAGATTTCAATCTATCGGATTAAGTGTTCTTGCAGCAAAAACGTGCTCAAAACCGCATTTCATCGATTCGCTTAAGAAAACTCTTCAAAAAGCTCGATAAACTCGATCCAGTGGTCACAGTGGTCACAGTGGTCACCATTTTGGTCACAGTGGATGCATTTCCCAAAGGTTATCGAACATTTAATAGGTTATCGGTAAGGTTATCGGTAATGTTATCAGACTTGCCTTCTTTCTCATTAGCAATCCAACTTTGAACTCAAATATCTTGGTGTTGAGCGGTTCAATTTAAATCTTCTTGGTATCATTAGATGCCCCAAGTCTTTCTCTATCGATTGGTACAAAAACTATTTAAATTGAATAGTCAGAAGCCAAGAAATTTGAGTCTAAAGTTGGATTGCCAATGGCAAAGGGGCGGGGCGCGTCTTAAATATCTGACAATCTTTCTCAAACGTCACCAGGTCTGCATTTCTGCCCATAGAGATCTTTTTAAAAGGAAAACCTTTTTTCTTTAATATCTACTGTATAAAGCAGAAGAGACGTCTGTCCGTTTGTCCATTTGGACGCAGCCATTGACAAAAAGGGGTGGGATTTGAATTGGGTGGAAAACGTGGACCTTCCCAGTGGAAAACGCGGACGTTAGTGAGCGTCTTTATAAAGATTTGTGACTATTATGGGCACAAAACTTCATGAGGTTGAGAAAGTTGAGCTTAATCTCCACTATCTCAACACTGGGATAATTTCTTTTATAATGAAAATTGTGGTCGCGATTGTGATTTAAAAACTAGCTACCGTATTTTCTCTAATAGTAGTGCACCGTGATCGTCGTCTAAATTCCTCGAAATCTCGAGAACCGCTTATCAGAACCTATCGATGTGGGGTCGGAAAATGTAACTGACGATGAGATCTTAACGATGATTAGAGTGTTGAGCTTCTGGGAAAACTTTGGAAACCGTAAAATAGGCATCAACTAGGCTCGACGGGGTGCACTACTATTAGAGAAAATACGGTATTATCAGATAGAATACAATATCAGATACAATATAGAGGTAAGTCTTAGGGCTAGGCTAGGTTCCTAGTGGAGTCAGGGATTTGGATTAGGTATATAGCTCTTTAGATTCAAGCACAGAAGTCAGTTCCTAGATCTAGGACTAGAGCTAGGGCTAGACTAGGTTCTTGGTGGACTCAGAGACTCGGCCTAGGTCTGCCAGATAAGGCCAAGGCCAAGGTTAAGGCTAAGGCCAAGGCCAAGGCCAAGGCTAAGGCCAAGCTAGTCAGACTAGACCTAGCTCCGAGCTGACCTGAACAAAATAGCCTTTAGATCCTTTAGATGTCTTCTTTTCAAATCTAGCCAAAGTCAAAGCTCTCTTTGTCTCAGACAAAGAGAGTTTTGAAGAGAGCTTTGACAAAGAGAGCTTTGACAAAGAGAGCTTTGAAGAGAGCTTATCTAATGATACGCTTTGTTGCAAGGACAAGCCCCGCAAGGACATCTTTTTCTTCAAAACTATTCTAATTTCGAGAAATCTTCACCTTCTTCAAGTCTTGCCTTGTCTTTCCTTGTCTTTCCTTGTCTTTTCTCGTCTTTTCTCTCTTCTCCCCATTTTTCTGTATGCATGAGTCGATCCCGTGTCTCCTTTCTGTCTCCTTTCTCGTCCAACTCTAATCGGCGCCGTGAATTTTTCAATTTTCTTTCAAAAGTCTCAACAATTCTTAAAGAATACGCCGAGTTTTCTATTTTTAAATAAAAACAATAAAAAAATGACTAAACCAAAAATAGAATCGAATCAAAAAAAAGAATATTAAATAAGTTTTTATTCTTTTTTTTTGATTTATAAAAGCATTTTATTTCCCGTATTGCAAAAATTGAGCACAATTTGATAAAATGAGAAGAGAAAAGGTTTAAAATAATAAAAAGAATAAAGAGAATTGAAATTTCAAACCTAAACAACGAAAAACTTTCTTTGAGCAAGCAATTTGAATTTGAATTTGAATTTGATGAGAGCTTTTTTGGAAGGAACAATTCGAAGAGTTAGCGCTATAAAGTGATATCGTTTTTCGAGTTGTATGAGCTGCTCATTTCTTCCTGAAAGTGAAATTGAAAAGAGAAATTGAAAGTGACGAGTAAAACTCTTACTCCAAGCCTAGATCTGGTTACTAGCCTTAGTTACGACTCTTTGGAGACTTATTGCTATAGAAGTAATGTCGTTTCCTCGACTTTTTGATGACACTTTGATTTTTGATGTACTTTTTTGATGTTTTTGATAACCAGGGTTGTCCCAAAAGCACTTTTTCGGGCAAGCAAGGCTAGAGCAAGACCAAAACTAACCAAAAACCCAGGTCTTAACTTGGCATTTGGCTTTGGTTTTGCCCAAAATGTCTGGCCAGACCTTCACAGGCTCCAGAAGTCAAGTCTTGACCTGGATTCTAACCTTGTCTACCTCACCAGATCCAATCCCTATTTCCAATCCGAATCCAAGCCTTATTTGAACTAGGCCTGGCTACAAACCTTGCCTTGTCTAGCTTGGCTTCATTAAGACCTGATCCAAGCCTAGATCTGGCCACTAACCTTGCCTTGTCTAGCTTGGTTTCATTACAGGCCTGATCCAAGCCTAGATCTGGCTACAAACCTTGCCTTGTCTAGCTTGGCTTTATTATAGGCCTGATCCAAGCCTAGATCTGGCTACTAACCTTGCCTTTTCCAGCTTGGCTTCATTACAGGCCTGATCCAAGCCTAGATCTGGCTTCTAGCCTTGCCTTGTCCAGCTTGGCTTCATTACAGGGTCGATCCAATCCTAGATCTGGCCACTAACCTTGCCTTGTCCAGCTTGGCTTCATTACAGGTCTGATCCAAGCCTAGGTCTGGCTACTAGCCTTGCCTGGTCTAGTTTTTTTGCCTGTTCTTGGCATTGCTTTACGGGTTTGACCCAGACTTAGGTCTACCTCTGGTTGAGCTTTGAACTTTTTTTGCCTACTTCCCTGGCTGAATATCTGTTCATATTCATCAATGATTCATCATATTCAATCTTTTCTTTCATCCCAGTATACCGAAGTAAACACATGACAACAAATCCTAATCTCTCAAGAATGTAAAGCTGACAAAGTACATTAGAAATTAAAGTAATCCGATAAGCTGACTGAGTTGATTTTAAGCTAAACTTTTAAGCTAAACTTTTAAGCTAAACTTTCAACCAAGTAAATCTAGAATAAGCTGAGAACAGAGATGTGAACTGAATCGAGTGTGATTATCGTTTACATATTACACACGTTGTGCTCATAGACTAATCTATAATAGCTAAAGGAGTTTAATATAAATAGGATTCTAGAGTTCTCAACTTGACCCGACACAGTTTCTGAAAATATCCTTTTGTTTTCGTATCTAGCTAGTATTTACCATTTCCCTGACAATGCTGCAACTCGACTCGGCAATCGTTGAGAGTCTCTTGAAAGCCTCTGATGTATTTGATGCAGTTCCCTGTTCGGAAATCATGTTCTAAAGTGAATAATTTGATCTACTTGTTCTACTCGATCGTAGCTTTGCGTAGGATCATCGTCGTCTTCTTCAACCGCGTCCGTTACCCAAGCCATTCCTCGCCATACCTTTAATGACAGAAATTCTTTGTCTGATTGAGTAGCTTTGTCTGATTGAGCAGCTTTGTCTGCTCTTTATCTTTATCTGATCTTTTTCTTTATCTGATATTTATCTAATTTTCAGTATAACCGAAAAGCTAGGTTTTCTCTACCATTTTAGGTTTTAAATCGAAAAACTTTCAAAGCCAATTTTTGACTGCTTCTTCCGAATCGAAGTGTTCTCCCGCAAGCTCATAATCCGGAATAAATAGTAATCAAAAGGTCTGGACTGTATGGGGAATGCGCCAAAAGTGCCCAAACAAGGCTATTTACTTTAGAGCTAGTCAGTTTTGCAACATGAGGGCGCGCGACATGGATGAGGACTATTTAAATCCAAGGGTATGAAGGTGTCTTAACACTGTAGCATGATCAACCCCTAACTCTAAAAATAAATTAAACCTCAAGTTTCTTTTTAAATAATTGAATTTCTATATCATTTACTGAGGCTTGTGAATCCGCAAACTTGTGAATCCGAATTATTGGGTTGGTGAATTGAAAACCGCGAGACTTTGGACTAAAAGTTATTCAACATAAAACCATAAATTCATTCCAAATAATTTCCATTATTATTGACGACTTCTGCCCATTTTACAGGCAATTTGCGGATTCCTCTTTCGTAGTAGAATTTTGGTTTGTGTGTGAGACAAGTGTGAGACTCAAAAATGGAGGACTGGAGATGTCGAGATGTCCCAGTTTGAGCATTTGAGCACTTTCTTCAAAAGAAACCCATTTTGGTGTCAATGGAAAAGTTGTAGAGAATCAAAAATTAGCCTTATAGCGAAATTTCCAAAAAGATACACTTAGTTGGTTCGCTTAAAATGCAAGTTTTGTTGCAAGGTTTCTTGCCAGTTTTGTGAAAATTCGTAAATTTGGCATTTCTTGAAAACCAGTTTTTGAATCGTTCTGAAAATTTGGATATCAGCTTGATTTTTGATTCTCTACAACTTTTCCATTGACACCAAAATGGGTTTCTTTTGAAGAAAGTGCTCAAACTGTCATAGATGACAATAGCCCGCAGTTTTCAATTCACCAACCCAATATATTGACTATTTAAACGATCATTTGATGAAGAATGAAATTACGCATCGAATGACACCAAAAACAACTTAAAATATAATATTCATGCAAAATGAAATATTCGTCAAAATACGGCTGAAAAAATGCCCGTACAGTAAGGCAGACAGAAAGACAGACAGAAAGACAGACAGATACCGTAACCCCCCCCCCTCCCCCTCCTTTTCCGTCATTTCATCTGTGAAAATTCGTAAATTTGACATTTCTTGAAAACCAGTTTTTGAATCGTTCTGAAAATTTGGATATAAGCTTAATTTTTGATTCTCTACAACTTTTCCATTGACACCAGAATGGGTTTCTTTTGAAGAAAGTGCTCAAACTGTCACATATGACGATAGCCCGCAGTTTTCAATTCATCAACCCAATAATTTTCAAAGCTTATCTTTCGAATTTCTCTAGAAACCTGATGCATGATGTGAACAGCTGGTGCAAGCATGGCTACAGTTGCTCGTGACTCTTGTCTAAAATCTAAATATTAGAATCATTAGGATTTTATAAACCTCAACGGCAATCGTGTACTTTGCTCGCCGCTTTGTGACGGATGAGTTTGATTTTGACTCTGACTCGCCATCGATGCCCCCTGCATTGCCATCATTCGTGATCGAAGACCTATAAAAGGATTTATCTCTGATTCAAGCTAGATACAGCTGTAGATCTAGATAGATCTAGATAGACAAGTTCAATATTTATGGGAACCAGACTACTAGGTTTAGAGCTCATTTTGTACAAGTTTAATAGCATTAAACTTATTTTTATTAAATAAGCCAAATGTTAACTGTTAATGTTAACTTTAAGTTACTTTTTTCTCAAAATAATCGCCTTTCGCGCTTTTGCGCCGCAGAAATGGTTATGGAAAGCGCCGACTCTCGAAAAAGTCGAGTTTTTCACAAATTCTCGTTAAGTTTTCTTGGAAAAACCCAAACTGAAATTTAATTCGAGCATTTTTTAATGTCCTATAGATTCGAAATGTGTTAAATAGTGAACTTTTTCATCGAAAAACAAGAACAACTGGCGTCTGATTGCTTTTGATGAAATTTGCTGATCATCGATGAATCGATTTTTCGAATCTCAAATTTAGTAAACTTTAATCTGTAATTGTAAAATAATCTAGATAATCTAGATAATCCAGAAATCTAGAAAGCTGGAAATCTAGAAACCTAGAAATCTAGAAATGTAGAAATCTAGAATTCTAGAAACCTAGAATTCTAGAGTTCTAGAGATCTAGAAATCTAGAAATCTAAAACTCTAGAAGTCTAGAAACCCAGAAATCTAGAACTCTAGAAATCTAGAAATCTAGAAATCTAGAAATGTAGAAATCTAGAAATCTAGAGTTCTAGAATTCTAGGAATCTAGAAATGTAGAAATCTAGAGATCTAGAAATCTAGAACTCTAAAAATCTAGAAATCCAGAAATCTAGAACCCTAGAAACCTAGAATTCTAGAGTTCTAGAAATCTAGAACTCTAGAAATCTAGAAATCCAGAAATCTAGAAATCTAAATTGTAAAAATAATCTAGACACTCGAGTTAATTCCGATTTCTATCCAATGTTTTCCTAACGATTTGTTTCATAAACAAATTTTAAGAGCCATAAACGATCTACGAACTTAAAAGTCTACAGTAGAGCTTAAAAGTCTACAGTAGAGCTTAAAAGTCTACATAAATATTGAATACTCTGTATGTTTAATCTATTTTATATTAGTTTTTCATTGAATTCGATTCGAAAATGATTGTGATTTGATTCTAGATCTAGATCTAGATCTATTGGGTTGATGGAAAAGTCCTTTCCGATTTTTTGGGGAGAGTACCTTTGTCCAATTTGTAATTTGTCCAATTTAGACGTTTTATAGCTCATCCTAAAGCTGAATTCAAGACGAATCGATAGATAAAAACCGTTTTGAGATATCTCTTTTCTAAAAGACACCATTTTTCGTCACCTGCCACTATCCGATGAATAAATCGACGATCCTGACCTCGGGTTTTCATGTGCCTATCTCTACGTGAATGTGAAGTCAAGGAAAGAATGAGCTGATTCCGATCAACAAGCAACTCCAAGGGTAAAAGCAGAACCTCGCCCAAAAAAGACAATGCTGTGTGTTTGGTGGGACCATCAGGGTATTCTTCAACAAAAAAACCCGCGAAAAACAAAGGAAAATCGCGAAAAGCGGCGGAAAGGCTATTGATCTGAGGGTCGCTGGTTCGACTCCCACCGGTGACAATATTTTTCAAAGACTTTTTGGTGAGATTCTGAAAATGCGTGTCTAGGGGTTATTTTTGACGCTGATCACGAAACACATGTTTTTAGCCTAGGTTTCTGCACGGAAAACTAACGAAACGTGAAAACAGCCTTTTTTTTGACGCTGCCACCCTTTCCTAAAATAGCTGTAAAAACTTTTAGAAAAGAGATATCTCAAAACGGTTTTTACCAATCGATCCAGTCTTGAATTCAGCTTTAGGATGAGCTATAAAATTGGACAAATTGGACGTCTAAATTGGACCAATTTAAGGTACTCTCCCAAAAAAACGGAAAAGACTTTTCCATCAACCCAATATTTTATATTAGTTTTTCATTGAATTCGATTTCAAAAAGGTTGTGATTTGATTCTAGATCTAGATTTGTCTCTGTTAAGATTTGAAATTCTGTTAAAGATAGATTTTGATATCATAAAACAATTGAATACCGTTCATTTTTGGACTCGACGCTCCATCGGGTAATGGATACATTTCTTGAACATATTCCTGGAAACTTTTCTTTCCCTTAAAACTTTTTCAAGTCATCTATAGAACAAATTCTTTATTGCTAAGCAAAAATTCGTCGTTTTTTTGATAAAAGAAGCTCTTTGCTGATGCAAAGACTTACATTTAACATCAAAGACTTACATTTAACATCAAAGACTTACATTTAACATCAAAGACTTACATTTAACATCAAACAAAATGTTGTGTACCAAACGGGATTCGGACAAGCGCCCGGATTTGCTATACAAAGCGCACAGGCGAGCATTGTGCCTAAAAATTCGAATTCTAAATGATTAATACAAGTTTTAACGGCCATTGACAACAGATTTAAAATAAAAAATAATGATTTGATCTGTCTTCGCACTTAGCGCAGATCACAACCCGCTTCCACATTTACTGAGGCAGAAGTGTAGTTGTCGTAGCCGATGATACTCCGATGGCCGGGCTGGGGCGCTCGGAGGGGAACCCATGGGAGTCGAACCCACGACTAACCCGCGCCGACGTTGCTCAACTTGGCAGATCGGACGGGGTCGACCACAGACCCTTCCCTTTCTGGGCCCCTGACAACCGATTTAGGCAAACTTTTTGAAAACGCCCGGATTTGCTATACAAAACGCCCGGATTTGCTATTTTAATTCTATTTTAATTCTATTGTGCGCTTTGTTGCGGAAATTTGCCATTTCCGATGAGTCGACGAGAGGATTGCGAGTGATTTTCTTCAAAAACTTCAAAAACTCACCAACAATGCAAAGGAGGACAATGTAAAGTCCAAAATTGTACACATCAAGATCGATGATTGCAAGGGAAACACAAAAACACATAATGACGAAGAGGAGAAGAATCGAGAGACACGCGTAGAACATCTGGAAAATCAAAACTGACAATTTGATTGTTTAAATTCAATTCTGATAAGCTTATTGGGCTCTTGCGTAGTTTTTGGGTTTTTCTGAAAGAATCCGGGTTCTTTGAAAGAATGCGGGTTTTTTGAAAGAATGCGGGTTTTTAAAAAGAATACGGGTTCTTTGAAAGAATCCGGGTTCCTTGAAAGAATATGGGTTTTTTGAAAGAATACGGGTCTTTTAAAAGAATACGGGCTTTCTGAAAGAATGCGTGTTTTTTAAAAGAATACGGGTTCTTTGAAAGAATGCGGGTTTTTTGAAAGAATACGGGTATTTTGAACGGGTCGTCAAGCTTTGAAGGCCTATAACTTTGTCCAGAGATCATATTATACTTAACTTTGTATATCATTGTACAGAGAACATTTCAGGCTTTCAAATGATATCAAATAAATCTTGACTCGATTTTCCATTCCCATGCAAACCCGGCGACACGACATCCGAGTCGGATAGGCCTCATTTGCTCAGAGTTGGCTCTGGTTTTCTTGAACTGAATTTTCAAATCAAACTAGACTTTAATATCATTTGAAAGCCTGAAATCTTTTCTATACAATGATATAAAAAGATAAGAATAATATTATCTTTGGACAAAGTTATAGGTCTTCAAAGTGGAATCAACCATTCAAACTCGACAAAAGCCTAATTTTTATGGAAATGAAAAATCGAATCAAGCTTTATTTAGTATTATTTGAAAGCCTGAGATGTTCTCTATACAATGATATAAAAAGATAAGAATAATATTATCTCTGGACAAAGTTATAGGTCTTCAAAGTGGAATCAACCATTGAAACTCGACAAGAGCCTAGACTTGATTTTCCTAGACTGGATTTTCTTAGACTGGATTATCCAATCAAGCTTTATTTGGTACCATTCGAAAGCCTGAAATGTCCTCTGCACAATGATATAAGAAGATAAGAATAATATTATCTCTGAACAAAGTTATAGGCGTTCAAAGCGTGACCACCCGTTGAAAATACCCAGAAACTACGCAAGAACCGCTTATTGTCTGTCTTTTCTGGACTTTGGGGCTTTAAACACAAATAATTGGGTGTAATGATTGAAAAAATCGGTGCTCTTAACTTGAACGCTTTCATTTTATCCACTTGTAAATTGACCGAGTTGCAAGAAATGGTTTCGATAAGAGAATTGCATTTTAGCAATGTTTAAACCAGGCTTCTGTAGGTCCAGAGCAAAGAAAGGTCAATTTTTACAGTAAAACTATACGAAACAAGGTCAAGAAATGACTCTGGTTTGGGACTGGCTTTGAAAATTCTTTCTAGAATAATTTAGAACAAGTTGGAAAGATTTTTGAAAAAATAAAACTCGTTGAAAGTCAGAAAATTTACCATTCCCGGTTTGCACATCTTTTCGAATTAAAATAGCATTAAAATATATTAGCAAATGAACTTAAACATTGAAGCTGAATGTGAAAAGCGAATTCCAGAAGGGGGAAATTGCAAATTGACATAAAAAAATGAAATTTCCCTGAATGTTTCCATTCAAAAAATCTCTATGACTACGCTTTTTTTTGGATTTTTATTTTTGCGAACTTTTACAAATAGAATTTCAATAGATTAAAGCTTTTTTTCTAAAAAAAACATCTATTTTAGAAAACTCTCGTAATTAAAACTCTCGTTTCTTTTTAAATAATTGATTTGGTTTTGAATCGAAAAACTTTTTGAGCCAATTTTTGACTGCTTCTTCCGAAGTGTTCTCCCGCAAGCTCCATTACTCATAATCCGAAATAAATAGTAATCAAAAGGTCCGGACTGTATGGGGAATGCGCCAAAAGTGCCCAAACAAGGCTATTTATTTTAGAGCGAGTCAGTTTTGCAACATGAGGGCGCGCGTTGTCTTGGATGAGAACGATTTAAATCCAAGGGTATGAAGGTGTCTTAGCACTGTGGGCTGATCAACCCCTAACTCTTCTCCCAATTCACGCGATGATACCCGATTCTAAATGATCGGATTTTGCTTGTTATTTTGTCCCTTGTTTTCTAAATGGTGTTCCTTTCTCTTTCTACCGTAAGAACTCGAGGGGAACTTGAAAATTTAGCTAAATTTAGCTCTAGATAGCTCTAAATTTAGCAGTTAATGGCCCAGTGAATCGTCAAGCTTTGATCCTGGTGTGTAAAGCTTTGAAACTCGAGGAAAACTTGAAAATTTTGCTAAATTTAGCTCTAAATAGCTCTAAATATTAGGTTGATGCATAAGTCTTTTCGTTTTTTTCGTACTTCTGTTAAAAAGTAACAAATTCACGAATTAATCTATAGTTTGCTCTATAAAAAAAAGTGTTTTTTTGTTCAATTTGCATCTTTTTAAATGAATTTCGGTTGACTTTCAAGCAAATTCGAGAGTGAAAAACGTCTTTTTCGTAAAAATCTATAAAAAAACTCTACGGAAAAATTGGCTGAATGAATTTCTCTGAAAATTTGGCTATATACCTAACTTTTTGTGTTCTATCTTTTATCTATTGACACGAAGATAGGTTTTCTTTAGCTAAGGTGTCTAAACCGCATCATCGAGTTAGCCCTTTTTGACTACCCGACTTCATACTCTCAAGAAAATCCAGGCATTAAATATTTTTAAACCCGTTTTAATGTTATTTTGCAGAAAAATAATTGCTTTTTCTAATGAAATCAACCGTAGTTTAATTGGTTTAATTGGTGCATTTGTTGGCTTGAAACGGCAGACGAAAAGGAACAAAAACACTTATGCATCAACCTATTAGCTCTGAATTTAGCTCTATTTTAGCTCTACTGTACGAGGGGGACGGGGATGATCACGACTGTACGAAGGGGATGATCAACCCCTAACTCTTCTTCGTAATTAAAACTCGAGTTTCTTTTTAAATAATTGAATTTTTATATCATTTACTGAGGCTTGTGAATCCGCATTAAATTATATCAAAATTTTGTTTATTTGATGTAAACTAATGGCTTGAATTGTCTTTTAGAAGAAAAAAAAACACTAAATTAGTATTAGAAACTTAAATCAATCATTTTAGAATCAGATTTTCTTTAGAATTTGCAGAATTTGCTGAATTTTTGAAACTTTTCCAAACCTCGTTGTCGTCTGTCGGCTGTTTTGACTTGTTTTTCGTTTAATCTCGATCCAATCGATCCCTAGCCCATGCCTGGAACAAATTGAAAGAATATTGAATGAGAAAATGTAGAAAAGACACTTAAGGCTAATTTAGAGACAAAAATAACATAGATATGTAACAAAAGAAAACAATTTTAGGCTCTTGTAGGCTCTTGCCGAGTTTGAATGATTGGTCCCACTTTGAATGCTCATAACTTTGTCCAGAGATAATATTATTCCTATCTTCTTATATCATTGTATAGAGGACATTTCAGGCTTTCAAATGATACCAAATAAAACTTAATTCGATTTTTCATTTCTATAAAAATTAAGCTAAACATAAAAGTAGGCTTTTGTCGGGTTTAATTGATTGGTCCCACTTTGAAGACCTATAACTTTGTCCAAAGATAATAGTATTTTTATCTTTTTATATCAATATATAGAGGACATTTCAGGCTTTTAAATGATACCAAATAAATCTTGATTCGATTTTTTATTTTCATAAAAATGAAGCAACACCGTGTCCTAGTTTGATCTGTCTCATTTGCCAGAGTTGGCTTTGATTTTCCTAGACTGGATTATCCAATCAAGCTCTATTTAGTATTATTTGAAAGCCTGAAATCTTCTCTATACAATGATATAAAAAGTTTAAAATAATATTATCTTTGGACAAAGTTATGAGCATTCAAAGTGCGACTACTTTTTTCAAAAAGTTCAATTTTCGATCATTTGATAAAAACGATATTTTATATAAAAATAAAGTAGCAAGAAATAGAAATTTTTGAGAAAACTTTTGCATAATGTTTCTTTTTAAAAGAAAAGACAAAGAAAAATCAATTTACGAAGTTTTGCTGGGGATTTTGAAAGATGAGAAAAGTGGGAAGAAAAAAAATGAGAAAATAAATTGTAGCCGTCAAAAATGGATTATCTTTTACATGGAGATTTTGATAGAAACACTTATAAATGAAAAGAAAACAGGAGAAGAGATTAGACACAAATTTTTGATGTTTTCTTTGACTCTTTCAAGAGTTTAGACAGCTTTTTCTATGTGTTTTGTGTTCAAAAATGTAAACGCATTCTTTCTAAAGCATTTCGTTTTTTGTCAAAGCTTTTCTTGGCTTTTCTTTAAGAAAAATGAGGTTTTAAGTGCGTTAGAAGTGGTGCGTTTACAGATTTGAATATAAAGTACATAAAAAAGATGTAGAAATCTAAACTTTCTACAAATTTTAAATTAAATAACAGTAATGGCCCTTGATCATTCAAGCTTTAGAAACGAAAAGCCGGATTTTGTGCTCAAAAAGTCGAAACGCCTTCTTTCTGGTGCACTATCTTTACAGAAACGCACTAGGAAGAGTGCGTTTACAGATTTCAGTATAAAGTACACCAAAAGATGCAAAGGGTTTTTATTATTGGGTTGGTGAATTGAAAACCGTGGGCTATTGTCAGATGTGACAGTTTGAGCACTTTCTTCAAAAGAAATCCATTCTGGTGTCAATGGAAAAGTTGTAGAGAATCAAAAATTAAGCTTATATCCAAATTTTCAGAACGATTCAAAAACTGGTTTTCAAGAAATGTCAAATTTACGAATTTTCACAGATGAAATGACGGAAAAGGAGGGGGAGGGGGGGGGGAGGGGGGTTACGGTATCTGTCTGTCTTTCTGTCTGTCTTTCTGTCTGCCTTACTGTACGGGCATTTTTTCAGCCGTATTTTGACGAATATTTCATTTTGCATGAATATTATATTTTAAGTTGTTTTTGGTGCCATTCGATGCGTAATTTCATTCAATGCAGGGGGCATCGATGGCGAGTCAGAGTCAAAATCAAACTCATCCGTCACAAAGCGGCGAGCAAAGTACACGATTGCCGTTGAGGTTTATAAAAT